CCCCTTTGTTTTTATTGTTCTTGGTTTATTTGTTTTATGCTGCTTCCTGTTTTTTAAGGCAAAGAACCAAATATTACTGCTAAAAAGGCAATAAAAAGAAAAACTTGTTATATTTTGACCTGCTTAATTTTCCCCTGACGCACTTGTGCTTTCTGTTTCTCCCTTCCAGTTCTTCCTTTGTTCAGTCTATGTCCCGATGTGCACGGAGAAGATTAACATCCCCATAGGTCCCTGTGGTGGCATGTGCCTCTCTGTCAAAAGAAGATGTGAACCCGTTTTGAAGGAATTTGGGTTTGCCTGGCCAGATAGCCTGAACTGCAGCAAATTCCCACCCCAGAACGACCACAACCACATGTGCATGGAGGGCCCAGGAGATGAGGAGGTTCCCCTTCACAGCAAGACCTCCTTGCAGCCTGGAGAAGAGTGCCACAGCATGGGATCTAACTCGGATCAGTACATCTGGGTGAAGAGAAGCTTGAACTGTGTCCTCAAGTGCGGCTACGATGCTGGTCTCTACAGCAGGTCGGCTAAGGAATTCACAGATATCTGGATGGCTGTGTGGGCCAGTCTTTGCTTCATCTCAACTGCCTTCACAGTCCTGACCTTCCTGATTGATTCATCCAGATTTTCCTACCCGGAGCGCCCAATCATATTTCTGAGTATGTGCTACAATATTTATAGCATTGCTTATATTGTGAGGCTAACTGTGGGCCGGGAAAGGATATCCTGTGATTTTGAAGAGGCAGCAGAACCTGTTCTTATCCAAGAAGGTCTTAAGAACACAGGATGTGCTATAATTTTCTTGCTGATGTATTTTTTCGGGATGGCTAGCTCCATCTGGTGGGTTATTCTCACACTGACGTGGTTTCTGGCTGCGGGACTCAAGTGGGGCCATGAAGCTATAGAAATGCACAGCTCTTATTTCCATATCGCAGCCTGGGCTATCCCCGCAGTGAAGACCATCGTCATTTTGATTATGAGACTCGTAGATGCAGACGAGCTCACCGGTCTGTGCTATGTTGGGAACCAGAACCTAGATGCACTGACGGGCTTTGTTGTCGCTCCGCTTTTTACCTACCTGGTCATTGGGACTTTATTCATTGCAGCAGGACTCGTGGCCTTATTTAAAATCAGGTCTAATCTCCAGAAAGATGGAACTAAAACTGACAAACTGGAAAGGCTGATGGTGAAAATCGGTGTCTTCTCAGTGCTGTACACCGTCCCGGCAACGTGTGTCATCGCCTGTTATTTCTATGAAATCTCCAACTGGGCTGTGTTCCGCTATTCCGCGGATGATTCCAACATGGCAGTGGAGATGCTCAAAATCTTCATGTCCCTCCTGGTGGGTATCACGTCGGGTATGTGGATTTGGTCAGCCAAAACTCTGCACACATGGCAGAAGTGCTCAAACAGGCTGGTGAACTCAGGGAAAGTGAAGCGGGCGAAGAGAGCGGATGGTTGGGTGAAACCTGGGAAAGGGAATGAGACTGTGGTGTGAGACAAGGACGGCACCACGAGGGTCTGACCACCCTCCTGTGAAGGACTGATGGTGTGTGAGCATTGCTGTGTAAAGGTTGGAGTAGAGTAGGGAGATGGTTACATAACCTGCCTCTGGGGAATGGGAGGAAAAAAAAGCCTTAAAGTATAAACAGCAAAAAGGTCATGCTGCAGATACAATAGCCATAAACCATGCTGCCCAAAATAGGAAATCCCAGGGAGGCTTTAAAAGCTGTGAAATACCCGAACGTGTTATCTTTCTTTTTTTTAAAGCAGGATGCAATATACTGAAGTGTTTAGAAGCTGAGGGACTATAGCCCACAGCTGTGGGATGGTGTTTTCTTTTCATCGTCTTATAGCTTATGGAGGGAAGGGGGTCTGAGGACAACTTATGGGCTGATTTAGGGTCCAGTTATCAGCCAGGACCTCAGTTAGATGTCTTCTTTCCAAGCTCAGCATCGTGAAGGAAGTGCTTGCTGAGGGTTGTGTCTTTATGTTCTTTGTAGTGGAATTCTGTTACTCTCGTGTGCTGCACAAGTCAGCCAAGGATCAGGTCCTCCAGCAAATACCAAGTGTGCTTTTTAGGTGTGAGTTACCCATGATGGGTAGGATTTAGAGAGGTATTAGTGAGGATGATTCTTTAAGTCACCTGATGGTCTAATAATAATTTTGACTCATTCTTTATACCATCTGTAACCTGTTCTGAATTGAGAGTTGACTCTGCCTTGCAGGGATTGGGACCTCCCTAAGTCCCTTCCCACCTGAATTAGCCTGTGGTTCTATCAATATTCCTCATTTTTTAAAAGCTTTATTCAAGGCCATTGTCAGAAGTAGAGGAGTCAGTGGGAGCTGGGAAACTATGGTCTTCTGCATCAATTACTGTTATCAGTGTGCCTCCATTCCCATCCTGTCAGGTGCTCCTGCTATTTCCAGTGGGCCACTTTATTCTGCTGCATTTAATAGCTTTAAATAAAGTCTTACATTATAATGTTCATTCCTCCAAGAAAGAGAAAAATAAGTTGAGGGTCTTTTCAAACAATGCCAGTTTTCTCCAAGTAAACTTATCTGGCTCTCTCTGGAGACCCATTGCATGAAGCAATTAAGTCTTAATATATTTCATTCAGTGCGATGGTATCTCTGCAGACGCCAGTCTGGGGAGAAGAGAAATGTTAAGTTCCTTGGCAACCTCATGTTCACACAGATCAGTTGTATAATTATGTGTGTCAGTTACAATTAAAAGAACATTCTCAGCCCATGACATCGCAGTGCAGCTGACTGCCTCACAACGATGCTCCAATTGCTCCCTGACAGCTATGGAGGGGGGGGTTTAATGTATATTTACATGCGGAATGCGAGCAGGCATTCAGTCCTCAGGAACGACAAGAGACATTTCCAGTTTTTGTAAAGGGATCCCAAGAGACGAGATCCAGCTTCTTTGTCAATAATGTTGTTTCACAGCAACTGTTGAGTTTTCTTATCCTTTTATTTGAGAAGGCATCATCTTGTGCTCGTCAGGAGCTTGAACCTGGTGCCGGGGGCTTGTTTGACTAATAAGAAAGGTGATGCAAATGGAAATACCCCATAACCACTTAAGAGAACACTGTTCAGATGTTCTATCCCTTTGAAGGACCTTTGGTTTTACCTGTGTGCTTTGGATTTCTGCTTCATTTGTCTATGTGGACCGTGGTCAGCTGTGGAGCATCCCCCTGGTACCCCAGCTCGCCCTTTGGGGGCAGCCGAGGACAAGCACTGCTTTATTGCCCTTCTCGCTTGTCACACAGGTGCCCCATGTGCTTCCCAAGCCACAATCCATTTCAGCTCTGGCCATGAGCACTAATCTGTCCCAGAAGCGTGTATTGTTTCAATGTTAATGTTGAAACATGTGCTACAGCACTTCTTTTTTACTTTTTTTAAACAAACCCCAAACAAACCCTAATTGCAGTCTTTGTGGTTGGGCTCCCTCTCCAGCACAACAAGTGACAACTTGACACATTCTGCTTAAGACACACAAGCATTGTCTTGGCCAACCCCACATACCAGCTGAGCCTTTTCATCCTCTCCATGAAATCTCTCGCTATTAGTGTTGTGTTTGGATCTCGTTACTCCTCTGTGGGCAAGGCGTTCTGCAAGTAGGAGGTCTTCAGATGACCGTGCTTCTCCACCATGCAGTCTTTCTCCTGGGATGTAAAGCCAGCAGCTGTATGTTGACTTTCCAGAGGTGAGGATGCAGTATGAGCCTTTTTGCTGTAACCTGGCATTGGGCTGTGCCAAGGTGTCATGTTCACTGAAGTGTCCTTCACTCTGAAATGGTTTGGATACTCTCCTGGCAGATATGACCCATGTTTGACCTGACTGATTCAATAAACACCATTTTAACCATGTTATGTACACAGGAGTGAGTGTTAAGTACTACCTTGTTGTCAGAATCCTGCATCTCTGCCTGTGACCCCATGGACTGATGGATGTCCCTGGTGATGAGACATTGGAAGTGAGTTGGATGAGGGTAGCACTATGAGGGACTCAAATACTATGGGGAAGAGGTGGGCTGGGGAGAGACACTATCAGCTGATCCTGAAGGAACATCTTTCCCAAGCAGCTGGGGAGACGCTGTGCTAACCCAAAGCAAGTTTAGCTGTTGCAGTGATGAAACCATTCCATAAATGTATTCATCCACATGCATTTACCTTGCTCTGTTTTGGGGCTCTATGAGTGGGAAGTCACAGCGGTTGTGAAGAGTGGGTATCCGCAACTCCTATCTATCTCCTCTGTTTCAACATTGTTATGAATTTAAAGCCAAAAACTGTATGTCTGATCCTGCTTTGGAAGTGTGTTGCTGTGGTTGTACAAGTAGAAACTTCACAGCAGTCACCTTCCTTGCATCGGTCCTGCTTCTATCTATCTCCCCCCTCAGTGTGTGTCTTACTGCAGGTTTTGGAAGCATCTGCTGGAGAGGTACAAGCTTAGCTCTTGTGTCAAACAGAGAAGTTAGCTCCTTTTCTGAATTTTAAGGAAATAGACACTGATTATTTTGGGGTGTACAGAAAATATATCTACTTCAATGTATGTACTGTAAATTTCTAATTTATCACTGTAAAAAAAAACCCAAACCCAAACAACTTTGCTATTTAATTTTTATATCAAAATAAAAATTTAACCTCTGTGGATAACTAAGGAGTTCCTGGCAGCCCTCACGTGTTTGGTGAGTTTGTGTCTTCAATTGGCTTTATGATTGTTGGAAGTGCTTTTTTTCCCCCTGAAAGAAGGACTGAAATGCTCATGCTGCAGTGAAAGTACGCTCTGAATGGGTTCGTCCAGCATGGTTTGGATCTAACTTGCTCATTGCAGGGGCAGTGGAACTCAATGATCTTTGAAGGTCCCTTCCCACCCAAACTATTGAGTATGCCCCCAAAACCGAGCAGGATGCAAGGTGAAACATAACTATCTGCTGCTGTAGCACCACCATAATGCGGCTCCTGGGGAAAGCAGAGCCTCTCATAAGACTCCTTTTTATTTCACATATTGTGGAATACGTGCCTCCAAAGATGCACTGAGCTGTCTCAGCCAGGGTTTGGTGGAGGAGGGCAGCATCACCACCTGCCTGTTGAGTATATAAGAACTATCAGGGGCTTTTGGAAAGGGGCAAATTCTGCTCTTAGTAACATGCTTAAAGTCACTTTGCTCCTAGGGGTAATTTCAGCCCTTCAGAGAACACATTCAGTATTATCAACATTTTATCCAGTGTGTATTTTTTTTTATTATTATTATTTAATGGTTTTAAACTGACAGAGGAGTGATTTAAATGAGATATAAGGAAGCTCTTCCCTGTGAGGGTGCTGAGGTGCTGGCACAGGTTGCCCAGAGAAGCTGTGGCTGCCCCATCCCTGGCAGTGTTCAAGGCCAGGTTGGACACAGGGGCTTGGAGCAACCTGCTCTAGTGGAAGGTGTCCCTGCCTGTGGCAGGGGGTTGGAACTCGGTGAGCTTTAAGGTCCCTTCCAACACAAACCATTCTGTGACTCTATGAAATTAATCTTATTAATAGTTCACTTATTTAGTCATTCCTTTTTGTCATTTCTCTTCACAGTTAGCATGTACGGCATGTACAGTGTCTTCTTATATACATCCCTCACCAGTTTCTCTGACACTGATAGCAGAGTTTGTGACATTAGTCACCATCTAAATCCACTTAATCATCTCCATCACGCTGCATTCTGTGTGTGGGATTACTTAATTAGAATAATGTTATTCTAATAGGAACCTAAATCTGACTAGAGTGGGTAATCGTGAGGGTGTGCTATAAAGAAGACACTAGGAATTATCACCTGTGTATCTGTAGCTAATCAAGTTCTGAAAAGCAGCATCTAAAACTGGTAATTAGAGTGATTTGCTCATGCCTTTGGCAGCTCATCACTGTAATGTTCTCAGGCTGGTGATTAATGAGGTCTCTGAAACTTGTAATTAGGAGTCTTTAATGTAGCTACAGTTAAATGTAACAAACACAAAAGAAGAGCTGCTGGGGCTGTTCACACCATCGGAGAACCTTAGGCATGGCATTGGAGTTGGTGTTGGCTGCTCCAGGTCTTTCTGATGGCTGCTTGCCCTTAGGGACATCCCCCACATCAGCCATCCCATCATCATCACCCAGGAAGTGACAGTGGATTGCTGGAGTGGCTTCCAATGGGGAACAACCTGCCTGAGCCACTGGGATGACAAATCAGCCCAGGTTTGCCTATGGAAGGGAGTATGTTCTGTGTACAAAACTCACCCAAAAAATAGCGAGGACTTTTTGTGGTTGGTTTTCTATTTAGGCTTGGGGGTTTTCACTTGCTTTGTTGGTTTTGCTTGGGTTTTTGTAAAGCTGTCTTTAAAGAGAGAAAATGTTAAGGAGCTTGCAGCAAAGGAGTCCAGAGTTCTGCTGCCAGAAATCAGGAGCATCCTAAGCTCCAGTAATGTGAAAATGTGGTATCATGAGACCCCGGCTTTGGCAGTGGAGTTTCCACACACACCCCCGCCCCGTCCTCAGCTGCTCATTCCCATAACTGCACCTCATTTCAGCTCCTCCTTCATTTTGCCAGTACAACTAGTTGTAAAGCAGATCAGCAAAATACCCAGTTTAAAATAACCGTCAGAGTTTTGCTTTGTTTTATGCTGGAGGTTCATTTTTAAGGA